CCCGGCCCCTGGGGGCCCCTCCCAGCCCCGTGTGTGTCCCCCCGGTACCTCAGGGGAGCCTTCCCCTCCCCTCCCCCAGCCGCAATTTCCCGCTGTAATCGCGCTTTAATTTTAATTATCTGGCGCTTTCCAGGCTCCCCTCAGCGCCAGCCATCAGGTTTCAGCGCCGGTTTAAACGCCGCAAGCCCAAATGTCGCACGTTGGCCTGAAAGTGCTTTTATTTCTATTAACCCGGGAGGGAATTGCGCTTATTCTGTTGTTAAAGAGATGGTTTATCCCCTTGGGTTTGATGAGGAAAACGGTTTATCCCTGGGTTTGATGAGGAAAACGGTTTATTCTAGGGTTTTTTTGTGAGGAAAACGGTTTATTCTAGGTTTTTTTTGTGAGGAAAATGGTTTATTCTAGGGGGTTTTTGTGAGGAAAACGGTTTATTCTGGGGTTTTTTTGTGAGGAAAATGATTTATTTTAGGTTTTTTTAAGAGGAAACCGGTTTATTCTAGGAATTTTTTAAGAGGAAAATGGTTTATTCTAGGGGTTTGGGTTTTTTGCGAGGAAAACAGTTAATTCTAGATTTTTTTTTTGGTGGGGAAAACAGTTTATTTTAGTTTTTTTAAGAGGAAACCGGTTTATTTGAGGAGTTTCTTAAGAGGAAAATGGGTTGTTCTAGGGGTTTGGGGTTTTTGTGAGGAAAAGAGTTTATTCAAGATATTTTTTGCTGAGGAAAACGCTTTATTTTAGGGTTTCTTAAGAGGAAAAGGATTTATTCTAGGAGGTTTTTTTGATGAGGTTTATTCTAGGGATGTGGTCTTTTGCGAGGACAACAGTTTATTCTAGGGTTTTTTTGGTGAGGAAAACAGTTTATTTTAGTTTTTTTAAGAGGAAACCGGTTTATTCTAGAAGTTTTTTAAGAGTAAAATGGTTTCTTTTAGGGTTTTGGTTTTTTTGTGAGGAAAACGGTTTATTCTAGATTTTTTCTTGCTGAGGAAAATGGTTTATTTTAGGGTTTTTTCAGAGGAAAACGATTTATTCTAGGAGGATTTTTTTGTGAGGAAAATGGCTTATTCTAGGGGGGGTTTTAATGAGGAAAATGGTTTATTCAGGTTTTCCTCTTTTGGCAGCATTTAAAGCGCAGCGAGGTTTATTGTATTCCTTGTGGAGAGAGAGCTGTAAATAAAAAAAGTGAAATAAAACCGAGGTCCACCCGAGGGGGGTGGGGTACAGAATATTAAATTCTTTAATCTTATCCTTTAAAAAAATCACAGGATTTCAAGCCTTTGCCCCGCCGGCCGAGTTACAAAATGTCAGCAGCGAGTTGCGCCGATGGGAAATAAGGGAACTGCTGCGCCCCATGGAATTTCTTCCACTTCCACAGCCTGCTGTCACCTCCCAATTTGCAAAGCAGGGGGGCTCGCCCTGGCACAGTCGCTCCCATGCACCCCCATAGTGCCCCGTGACGTCGAGGTGGTCATCCCGGGGTGAATTGCAGCTGGGTTCCCGGCAGATTTGGTGTTCTGCTGGTAGGAGTCCCTCGGTAGAAAGAAGGAAGAGCGAGAGCGTGGTTTGCACCACCGTGGCAAGGCCCTGCCTCGGTGCTGCACCGTCGGTTCGTGAATCTCTGGCTGTACGCGTGAAATTAGCCACACTGGCAGACCCAAGCGGATGCTGCTTGAGGAGACCCATGTTTTTTTGGGGGGGGTTGTTTCATTTTGAGACCAGACCTTCAGCCACAGCAAACGAGCGCTGCCCAAAAGCAGCACAGCAGCATTTGGGTCAGGTCTCACAGCCATCCTCCCACCGTTAAAATTAAAAAATAAGAGTGAAAGGGAGATGGCTCCTCTAGGAAGCTGCCACGATGAACCCAAACACAAGGAAAGCTCCAGGATCTGATCAAGCGATTTTTTTTTTTTTTTTTTTTTTTTTCCAACACAAGCAGCAGTTTACCTTTTCCTAATACTTTAAAAAAATGAGTTCTCTTAATATTAATCTCCAGTGGAGTCCCCAGTAACACTGAGCTCTGCGCAGCCTTTCTGCTCACACTCTGCCTACGTTTTCCCCCCAACCCACCCATTTATTTTTCTCACTAGCAGCTGCATTCGTGCTTCCTGCCGCAACACCCCAAGTGCATTTCTGCTTCCCTTAATTGCATCTGCTCAATTCCTCCTCTCTCCACTTCAAACTTTTAAGAAACTTCTACCAGCTCGCCTATAGCCGTGACGTCTTTCTTAATTTCCTCCGCGGCCTAGAAATGAGCGCATCTCTCATTTTCTCTGTATTGGCCAGGTTGGCCCAACCAGTCCTGTCCACCTGCAAGAAGAAGTTTCTATGTTCACCCCTTTTTTTTATGTTGTAACAAAAAGTCTGGGGCCTGGCCGTGCGTGGTATCGTCAGAACTGAGATGCGGAGGGGTAAATTGCATGAGAATTTAACTAGGAGTTAAACTAGGAGGGGAGTTAAACTAGGAGGGGAGTTAAACTAGGAGGGGAGTTAAACTAGGAGGGGAGTTAAACTAGGAAATAAGCGCAAAAATGTACTTCTGATTTGCAGATATTTGAATTTCTTCCAATTAATTTGCTTTGAAAGACGGTGGTCTTTAGTGAACGCGGTAGGTGCTGTGCTTTGCGCATGTTTTGACTGTTAATGTGCTTTACCACAGCATCCAAGAGCTCTAGTTGCAGACTAGAACCCCCTTTTTAGAGAATTTTTCAAAGGCAGAATTTAGCCTCTGCCCCACTCCTGCACATAAATATGAAAAGAAAGGAGGAGGTGGAATTTAATGAGGCTGTTCTGGCTGTACAGTGTTGTAGACAACCGGACAGACGAGGTGCTGCTCTTTGCAACTTCTTACTGGGAGGGTTTAGTTGAGAAGACGGAGCCGAACTCATCCCGTGGATGCACAGTGAGGGGACAAGAGGCAACGGGGACAAGCAGGAAGGTAGGAAACCTTGGTTAAATGGAATTTTTTTCCAGGACCAGGGAGGCTGTGGGATCTCTGTCATTGGAGATGCTCAAAGCTCACCTGGGTGAGGCTTTGAGCAACTTGCTTGGAGTGCGGAGTTGGGCTCAAGACCTCTTCCCAACCTGAATTCTTCTGAGATCCTGTGATACCGCCTGCATATCTTTGCTGGTGTGACTCTTCCTTTCTCACAACCCAGGGGAATGACGATGACCAGCCTCCTGCCTTCAGCGGTGGACGGAAACTGCTACTACATCCTGACAGAAGACTGTGCGTATGGCAGCAAGTATTTCCAAGCTGGGAACATGTGCTTCTGCAGCGAGAGAAGTTACCTGCGCAATTTCTCCGAAGACAGGCCCCCGGCTTGCTTCTTGAAAGTCATCATGCTGGATGACAGCTCCACCGTCACGATAAATGTAGAAGTCCTTCAGCCCGTGCGCGAGGAAACAGCTGTCTTCCTCCTGGCCGTCAGCAGCCACAACGAACGTTTAAACTATTTCTTGGAGAGGTTGAGCCTTGAAGCAGCTCTGCGGGCTGTGCCAGGCCAAAAAGTGATGGCGGAGGTTGACCGGCAACATTTCCCTGGTGTCATCCGCTACATCGGGAGCATTTACAAAAACACTTTGGCTGTGCTGTCTCCATTCTTCTTTGGGGTGGAGTTACAGGTAAAGCAGCCGGGAAAGCAAGTTGCTTATTTTCCCTTTATGTTTGCATAGGTAATGTGCCTTTCCGGTGTGTTTTCAGGGCGAGGGTGAAAACCGAGGGCGCAGCGATGGATCTTACCACGGCACCGAGTATTTCAAGTGCAAGCGGAACTGCGGGATCTTCCTGCCGTTTAGCAGAATCCAGTTTATTCCTGTGCCAGATGACGACTACGTGAAACAGAAGCCAAAACCGGACATGGAGGAGGGGGTTCCTGTGAAAGTGGGAGATGCGGTTAGCTTCTACGTGGACGAGGTCCTCACAAAAGGAATAGCGATGGCGGTTTACAGGGAGGGAACCCAATGGTTCGTTAAAGTTTGCCCGGTAAGAGCAGTCTTGCTGCCTTTTCTTGGTTTTGGGAGATGTTTTGGGTTTTTCTTTAGGGCCACAAAAATGATCCGAGGGCTGGAGCACCTCTCCTATGAGGACAGGCTGAGGGAGTTGGGCTTGTTCAGCCTGGAGAAGAGAAGGCTGTGGGGAGACCTGATTGCGGCCTTTCAGTACCTAAAGAGAGCCTATAGGAAAGATGGGGAAAATCTTTTTAGTAGGGCCAGCTGTG